TCAGTTTTTATCTACAAAGTAGCAGTTTATGTTGCTGCACCCCACGATACTCTAAATGATGAATGGATGGTGTTCATGTTTCTTTCTACGATGGCTTCAGGTTGCTAATAAACTATGTCAATAAAACACATAGATACGATCTTTTTACCTTATCAAACGTTACCAAAGGTCCCGATGTCACTGCTTGTTCAATGGTATGTTGATTGATTGCCGATAGAACGATAATTGTTCATAAAAAATCCGAATAGGAAGAGAGATGGTTGACAAACAATTCTAAGGAAACATCATACGAAAACGACATTGTCATTTGTATACAGCTCATTAAGGTCATAATCGATTCTTTCCTGGTGGGCAGTAACTTTCTATTGATATCATTTAACCTTTGAAAAGCTATTAAAATGATTTGACATTGAGAGCTCGTGACTGTAAATGATAAAGGCCATATTTGGCATATGCATTGTTTATGAAATGGGAAAACACCTTAAAGTTTACAAATCATTATGAAATTTATCGCATTTGTTAATATGAATGAGAATCAGACGCTTGAATATATGGACCGTATAACAACACTGAACGCATAGGTATGAGCAATTGTTGGCCCAAGCTGATGTGGAAACCCTTTCCATCATCGTAGGAAATTTCCACTGCAGGCAGTACCTTGTACGATGCCGACTATATCATAGGCGTGTGTTGATGAATCACTATCAAATAGTTGTGATGCCAAATGATCGCGAATAGGTGAGCGTTTCCTATCCCACCGGTGACACACATTCAAAACCATAACAAAGCCATTTAGCCATACTTATGTGTTTGATCATGTCAGAGGAGCAAAACTATAAAAAAAATAAAAGGATATTTTGAAATGATTGATAACCAGTATTTCAAAGTTTTCCGTAACTTTAAATTGTATATTTCCAGTGAGCCGAAGAAGACATTTTTCCTACCTCCTCCTGCTATATCATCCCTGTCATGGAGTACAAGATTGTGAAAGTGTAATCCAGTTTTGAAAGGCACTTAATCGAATTCAAATAAATAATAATATTATGAAAATATCAGGCACCTTGTCTCTTGCGACCAGTTTATTTCGAGTAATATTGCGTATGTGGATAGCCCTAACACCTTATGTCCTATTTATGTGTCGTAACACATACTGTTCCTTTTTCATAAGGCAGGATGTTTTACTCCTGCTTCCCAACGCAGGCTTCTTTATTCCCGACTTCTTACATTTGTTATCTGCTTCCAGGGCACACTACTGTTTTCCTGATTCCAAACACATGCTTCTGTTATCTATATCCAAACAGATGCTACTTTATCCCTGTCTCCTGAAGCAAGTTTCGTTATTCCTGCCTTCTCACACGTGCTTCTGTTATCTACTTTACAACGCATACTGCTCTATTCCTGCCTTCTCACAAGTGCTTCTGTTATCTACTTTACAACGCATACTGCTCTATTCCTGCCTTCTCACAAGTGCTTCTGTCATCTACTTCACAACGCATACTGCTCTATTCCTGCCTTCTCACACGTGCTTCTGTTATCTACTTTACAACGCATACTGCTCTATTCCTGCCTTCTCACACGTGCTTCTGTCATCTACTTTACAACGCATACTGCTCTATTCCTGCCTTCTCACAAGTGCTTCTGTCATCTACTTCACAACGCATGTTGCTCTATTCCTGCCTTCTCACAAGTACTTCTGTCATCTACTTCACAACGCATACTGCTCTATTCCTGCCTTCTCACACGTGCTTCTGTCATCTACTTCACAACGCATACTGCCCTATTCCTGCCTTCTCACAAGTGCTTCTGTCATCTACTTCACAACGCATACTGCTCTATTCCTGCCTTCTCACAAGTGCTTCTGTCATCTACTTCACAACGCATACTGCTCTATTCCTTCCTTCTCACACGTGCTTCTGTCATCTACTTCACAACGCATACTGCTCTAATCCTGCCTTCTCACAAATGCTTCTGTTATCTACTTCACAACGCATACTGCCCTATTCCTGCCTTCTCACACGTGCTTCTGTCATCTACTTCACAACGTATACTGCTCTATTCCTGCCTTCTCACATGTGCTTCTGTCATCTACTTCACAACGCATGCTGCTCTATTCCTTCCTTCTCACACGTGCTTCTGTTAGCTACTTTCCTAGGCGTGCTGCTTTCTTCCTGCCTCCTTACAGTTGCTTCTGTAACACATCGACTTCTCAAAGCATACTGTTTTATTGCTGCCTCCTAAGTTAACGCATACTGCTCTAGTCTTTCCTTCTTACACATGCTTCTGTTATCTACTCCCCAACGCATACTTCTTTATTCTTGCCTCTTAACGCAAACTGCTTTAGTCCTGCCTTCTTACACATGCTTCTCTTATATACTTCCCAACGCATACTGGGGCGATGGGATAGGCTAGTGGTTAAAGCATTCGCTCGATACGGCGAAGGCCCGGGATCGATTACCCACATGGATACAATGTGCAAAGCCCATTCTGTTGTCATCCGCCGTGATATTGCTGGAATATTGCTGCCGAAAGCGGTGTAAAACCATACTTTCTCACTCACTCACTCACTCACCCCAACGCATACTGTTTTATGCCTGCCTTCTTACACGTGCTTCTCTTATCGACTTCCCAACGCAAATTGCTGCTTAGAACTGGTTGACTACGCTTTGTCGATCTTAACATCTTTACGTTCTTCGGATTTAATCCGTTGCAATGACGCTGATAAATAAAAGAACTATCTTGTTTTCAAAATAAATATTCTGTATTTTACTCTAAATGTAGAATTTCATCTGAAAAAGATACTGTGGCAGGATAGATGTTATAAGAACAGCAAGGCCACAATGGTTACAATATTGCATGTAGTAGTCATAATTTTTCACAAAACAACCGAGGCCTAATTTGCAACAGTATAATGAGACTCCAGCTACGGAGACAAGTATTTGACAATGGTGTGGACGTTATTTTATTTGTACAATGTCATACATGTCCATCTCACGTCAAAGTGTAACTTTTTTACAGATTGTACGCGCAGTTCAGCCCCGGTCAAACTGCAAAGAATAATCGTATTCGCCTTTGATCAAATAGAGTGCCTGGTGGACATCACAGATTCGTCCTGGTTATGTATCTTGTTTTCTCAGCACCATACCCATGTCGGTAGGTTTCAACACAGCGATAAACGTGTAAGGCCTGAATCAGATCGGGGTTTCCTCTCACGTCAAGCTGACGCGCCTTGATATAGCTGACATACTGTTTAAAGACTCACTATGGTTGATATGTGACATATCTGACCTCGTAATGCCACGTCAAGTATTAAATAACAACCCTTAGTACATATCGCTGTTGATGACGTTTCAAACGGTGTTTGCATTGATCTACATGCGACGCTGTATGTAGATTCAAAAGTAGAAAGGGGCGGTGGGGTAGCCTAGTGGTTAAAGTGATCGCTCGTCAGGTCGAAGATCCGTGTTCGATTCCCCATATGGGTACAATGTGTGAAGCCTTTGTTTTATGTCCCCCGCCGTGATATTGCTGGAATATTGCTGAAAGCGGCGTAAAACAACGCACTAACTCCGAATAAAAGTTAATATCATACAACGTAACATTCTACATAGAATCAATAAGAGGACATCAGCTACATTGTATAAAGATATCGCGCCTGAGTGATTCGCAAGTTTACCCAGTCAATATACTGCAGACAAAAATCAATAAATACACGCCATGATATCATATATTGAATATTCTACATTATCAATGATTGAAAATTAATGGTTGAGATGTCGGAACTGACGCCTTTTTATGGACAATGCTATTGTGATCATGCAAGATGTTGACGACTGACGCAAGATGTCGCCATATGTGTATACAGTGACTGCAGATTTTGTGGCGTGTGCCCAGTCAACTGTGAACGGTGACATCAAAGAAAGTAGCGATGAATTTAAAGATGTCTTATAACGAATCCTTAGCTTCGGTAGTTTAAATCGGGTTAGAGACACCCGAGATTATGTGGGAGCCTTGAAGATGTCGTTTGACAAGAAATGCGTGGTTAAGACAAAGTAGAATTGAGTGAATAGAGTTTATGCCACATCAAGACAATCATAGGTGTGTCGCATCGGTCGGCAAATAACCGAATCTGGACAAGCAAAGCAGTAAACTGAAGGCGTTCACAGCAAACACAGATGTAGACTACTGGTCACCAACTCCAGAAGCCGCACGAGGTAATATACACATGCAAATGTATTCGTACAAATTACAGTTTCATTTTCAAATGCAGTTTCTGTTATTATCCAGACACTAATACAACCCAATACATTTTCTTCATGTATGCTATTCACAGTGAATTGAATCCCTCAGTTCATTAATCATATTGTGAGAATTATGTTTAAAAAAATTACAATTAAGTTTTGCGTATTTCCACTTTACTACAGATGCCCGGCATCACTCTTGTATCAACACGGAGGAACTTTTTTTTAGTGGATGAATAAAATTGTTTTTACTTTCGAAACCGCCCTGTGGATCAACTGGGTGGATCTAATAAGAGTCTTTAGTGTGGCGAACATAAACATACTCAGGACACTTGTTTTTGTTATGACACGGTGTATCTGTTTTTAGTGTCCATGTCGAATAGTATCTTTCTCGGGAAACGAGGTATGAGCTGTACATTGCATGAACTGAGGGCACACACAATTGGTTGCATTCATTTCGGTGGAACGATTTGGGGACAGAAAGTACAGATTTCACAAAAACTGTAAACAAGAAGAGCCTAACTTGAGACAGATACAGAACAGCACCCTTCAATTTTTATTCATCTCTGTACCATTTCATAAATTTGAACAAGATTACAACTTCTATGTCCACACCACAGCCTGAATTTAATTTCAGTTAATACATAATAAGACATAATTTTGATTATGAAACAAAATATATCTCAATACTAGTTGTTTGCTTCAATTGAACACATGTAAACAATGTACCTATAGTCAATAAGTCTTAAACAAACAACTCACCGTGTTTATGGGTAAAGCGTGTTGCGGGTAAGACTCCAGAGAAGAGGAAGAAGTTAGCGAGTCTTCCGTAGACATGGCTCTCCTCCCTTGTCCTGATCTTGAAACACCTAGCCGCCAGCCTCTAGCTCGGCATTCTGTATTGATCTAGGACGACCAATCAAGCGCGCCTGCTCTGGTGGCTGTTCAGCGGGAGGAAGCTTATTGACTATGATATGCTGTAAACATCCCAGAACGGTGAAAGTGAACCAAAATGTTTGCGAACCTGATGGACTATAGATCACATTGGTTTGAAGATGCTTGTATGACGCACGGTTCTTGTAGTTGACGTTGTAGACAAGTAACCAGATATGGCTCCAAAGCCACATAAATTAGCACAAACACTTATTATCAAAATGATGGCAATGAGCCACGTAAAGTTCATTAATTTTAACGCGCAGTATTTTCCTGTAAATGTGTTTCATGTTATCCACAAATAGAATTTCAACCTTCTCGAAACAAAACACAATTATGAGATAACAGAATTATCGGCAGCAAAAGGAAACAGTTATTTTGTATTATTGAACTTATATAGTGCTGTTTGTTAGTTGTTAGGGCCACGGTCAGCAATAGTCCAGCTGTAAGACGATAATATTCGAATTTGGGTCAGTCAATCCAGTGACTGACATTATGAGCAACTATCCATGCCGTGGTCTCAAGATAACATGCAATCAACCAAGTGACATAGCTTACCACCCGATCTATTATATCCCCTCTCAGGAGAATGATAGGTCGCTACCTGTTTTAACCCGGAGTAGTAGTAGTAGTAGTAGTAGTAGTAGTTGGACCGATGAAGATCCGGGGTAGAATAGGTCATGCTTTCCGTAAAAGGCGACTACACTGGTCGTAAGAGGCGACTAACGGGATTGGGTGGTCAGGCTCGCTGACTTGGTTGATGCAATCCCAATTGTATGGATCGATGCTCACGATGTCAATCGCTGGATTGTGTGGTACAGACTCGATTATTACAGACCGCCGTCATATAGCTAGAACATTGCTGAGTAAGGCGTTAAACAACAAAGTAGTAGTAGTAGTAGTAGTAGTAGTAGTAGTAGTAGTAGTAGTAGTAGTAGTAGTAGTAGTAGTTGTTGTAGTAGTAGTGGTGGTGGTGGTGGTGGTGGTGGTGGTAGAAATGAAATGTCTGTGTGTTTGTTCTTTAACGCTGCACTAAGCAATATATAACTGTGGTCTTTAAATAATTGAGTCTGAACATCTTGAACATCGATCTATACAACTTTTATCCGATGACATGCAGCCAATTCAAGTCAACGAGCCTGACCGTTTGATCCCGTTAAAAGCCTGCTCGGACAAGCGTGGGTTGCTGAAGACCAGTTTTAACCCATATCTTCACGTGTCAGTAGTGCCACTTAACGCTATACAACACAAACATGTCAAGACAAGACCAATTATCCGCCACATTGGATAAACGAATCGAATCGACTTGGTGAAACTAACCATTTACATATAGAATGCGCTCCACTCAAAATCTTTACTTTGGACATGACTTAAAAGATTTGTGTGTAGTGGAACATAATTTGGATCACAAATTATTGATTTCACACATTATATAACATGGTTGTTGTTTTGTTGTTTAACGCCGCACTCAGCAATATTCCAGCTATATGACGGCGGTCTGTAAATAATCGAGTCTGGACCAGACAATCCAGTGATTAATATCATGAGCATCGATCCACGCTATTGGGATCGATGACATGCATCAACCAAGTCAGTGAGCCTGACCACCCGATCCCGTTAGTCGCCTTTTACGACAAGCAGAGTGACCTTTTACGGCAAGCATGGGTTGCTGAAGATCTTTTCTACCCCGGGATCTTCACGGGTCTATATAACATGGAGAAACTGACTAGGGATATCAATGATCGGCTTCATGCATAGCACAATATGGAGAAACTGACTAGGGATATCAATGATCGGCTTCATGCATTGCACAATATGGAGAAACTGACAAGGGATATCAATGGTCGGCTTCATGCATTGCACAATATGGAGAAACTGACTGGGGATATCAAGTATTTGCTTCACACATTGCAGAAACTCACATCTTCAATATGTGATTAACATTTATGTCGTGATACCTGGTTGCATCTTCCAGTTGTTAGAGACCATCCATAAAGCCATTCATCTTGTCTTTCATTCTACTTATCAGGCGAGAAATATCATTTTGTAATTTTGAGAAAACGGTCCCTTATGTACACATGTATGAATCGCATGTATTCAGGGGGAAATCTTGAAATCTTGGGAACCAAAGACAATTTTTCCAATTATCCGTTGTTCGAGACAAACGTGCTTCTGATACTATATCATACTGAATTGGGTTTAACGCCGTTTTGAACAGTATTTCATTTATATCACAGCGTGTCCGTAGTGTCTAGGGGGAAAGCCCGACGTGATGCAGGTCTCAGACGTTTAACACTCCGTTGAAACCGAGGAGCACGGGTATGTGATGACAAACCTAGAAACATAATCAGGGCGAACAGGGATTTGAATTCACGACCACACATGTAGGTTTATGGCATGCTAAAGAGACGCAACCCTGCACACCGAATTGCCGTGAAGAAGACGACTGGGCCAGCTCACAATTATTCCAGAGTGGTGAGGATGTATCAGGACATTGAATACATGTATGTTCATCATCTTAAACCATGATGATAAATCGTTTCTTTAATGTGGAAGTAAACACGGTTTCACTGTCCATGGACTTTACAGAGTGTAATTGTGAGATTATGTTGTGTATTAATGCTATTAAGTTCGAACTTGGCAATTGTTAGCTGCGTTCAGTTCTCTTTGAACCTATGCACTGACGCACGTTTCTTGTTGATCGATTTTCTCTGACACATGTACAACAAAACCACCGAGGATGAGTATAGTAGAATGATACAACACAAAGAAGAGAAGACCATTTTCTTGAGGAAACAGCGTTGCATACAACAAAAATTCAATTATAACAGTACATGTGTAGGAATTTCAGACATTAACATTTCCTGCCAAATACACATTTATTGTCAATAAAAGCGGCAAATCACTTCTCACATGCAAAACTATGTATGCATTCAGCCTTCAGAGAAGAGCGATCAATATATACAGTTTAGCGAGAATAACAGAACATACTATGTAATCAGAACTCTCTCTCTCTCTCTCCACACATGTTCTTTAAAATTGCAGTATGACACAGTGCCGATGCCATAACCTATCATATGGGAACCGAACCGCCAGGCTAGCGCAATGCAATTAGATGGCAAACACAACCATTTCACGCAAATTATTAAACAAATTCAATATATTGAAATCAGATTGTGTCGTCACGCAAAATACCGCGTGCTTCGCGAATGAGGCCAAATGTATTTAGCGAGAAAGGTTTTCGTACATGTATATGTACACCGTGGATACTTAAGACGATTTCTCAGCTTTGAATTTGATATTAACATTGAGGAGTTACTTTCTACCCGCGTTTGTCTATAAATCGAAATATGACTGATCTTAAAGATTACAAAAAACGCTTTTAAGTGGGACTGATAAGCGATAGCCACCTTGTTATAATTATTCAATTTCGATTGTATAACGTACAATAATTCGAAAATGATGTTTGTATATAGGTACATGTGAGCACATATATGAGCATGCACTGTGTGAGTAAGTTGGGTTTCATGCCGAGATGAACGGTAGACGTATTTTTAATATATCCCCGCCAGCTCTCTTGATATAGAAAAATTAGATACAAATGGTTATTGAAGTTTACTACTTTGACTAAATCCATGGGCTCAATCATCGATAATAATAATAATAATAATAATAATAATAATAATAATAATAATAATAATAATAATAATAATAAAAGCGACACAACCTTCAAAAATCTAAAAGGACCATTAGTGAGTCAAGTTCCATCCCCATGGGATTAATGGTTCTGCCCATCTCTCGGATCGGTTTCTCTCTGTGTATGAATCGGAATTTCTGCTCAGATTGGCAACGTCAAAACAAGTGAACTTGGCCGAAAAGTTCAACTTAAATTCAGGTGTATGAATTTTCTGTAGCCACTTCCCTTCCACTGAACTGGAATTATTCTCATTATTCTATGCGGGCATTCTTCTTTGAGCAAGTACTTGGATTCAATCAAGTTTAAAGCCGAGAGCGACTTTGACTATACGGAGGGAGGTCTTACTCCCAGGAAGACCTACAAAGAGATTTCACTTCTTCAAGTACGATTTTACCTTGTATCACCTTGCTCGTAGGTACCAATTATATACAGCATGTATTATTACTGTGTATCTAAGACGATGTCAGTTTATATAAGTCGGTTCACGACCTCGACCTCGGCCTTTGTGAGAGTGAAAGACCGTGCGTGTGTGTGCGTGCGTGCATGTGTGTGGGTGGGTGTGGATGTGCGTGCGTGCGTGCGTGCATGTGTGTTCAGGGGTGGTGTGGAAGGGAGGGGGTGGGGGGGGGGGGGGGGGGGGTGTTGGACGGTAAGTAATTAAGTAAGGAAAGCCGAATTACGTGGATCGATGCTCATGAAATCAATCACTGGATTGTCTGGTCCAGACTCGATTATTTACAGACCGACGTCATAAAGCTGGAATATTGCTGAGTGCGGCGTTAAACAACAAACCAATGATAGTGATTCATCAATACATGAGTTTGTTTCATTATGAATCATTTTGATAAATCTTATATGGAGGTTTCTTTTAAAAGCATCATAATTAAAAAAATCAGAAATAGTACACCATTCCAAGAGAAAAGAGGAAACCGAATGTCTGTCGTGTCAACATTCCATTTGTATTTCTTGGAATCGGTAAAGTAATGGACATGTTGTACACATCATTCAGAACGACGAATCTGTTCTGAACCTGATATGTAATATATAATATTATATACATGATGTAGAATGATCGAACCGAACACTTCTGACAGAGATTTTCTTAAGAAAATACAGTAAAAGTGTTTGACTTTAACGGACTAGGTTTCTTTCAATGCGCTGTCCTGTGACATTAGAAAGTTGTATATAGGTGGATATAATACTAATCTATAGATGTAAACCTATTTGATGATACATCTGTGTGTTTAATGTTGATTTTGACA